CACTCCCCACATACACCTCCCTCCCCTTCCACACACATAATATACAAGAGTAAGACTGCATTTTGAGCTACTATACAATCACCTCTATATACACTACTCAAAAAAACATAAATCAGGACAAAAAATATTTTTAAAATAAAACTAAAATGTTATAATAGGTATTTGATTTTTAATATATGATTTGGTTTTTTTATCTATAATTTGTTCAAATGGCATCTTCTGAAACATTTTATGTGTGTGGCCCTTGACAGCTCACCAAAACTCATTAAGTGGCCCTCCAGCCAAAATAATTGCCCACCCCTGCCTTAAGAGCTAGCCTGCCTTACCATTAGCACAAGGGCTGGAGCTGCAGTAGTCAATTTTCTTTTCACAGTTAAACCCAGAGTAACCCACTGGGCAACGACAGCTGTATCCACCATCAGGGTTGTCTGTGCATCGCCCTCCATTGAAGCATGGCCCATCAGCGCAAGTCATTGCACTCAGCTCACAGTTTTTGCCATAGAATCCAGGGGGGCAAGTACAGGAATAGCTGTTTTCCAGATCCTGTTTTTAAAAAGAGTTTTAAAAATGTATAAAACTATTTAGTTTAAATAATTTAAAAATCAAAATTAGCATGAAACTGACTGTATATTCCAATGTTAAAGAAATCTTTAATGCCTGTAACTTACAGTGCAGCTTCCACCATTTTTGCAGGGGTTGGCATCGCATTCATTGATCTCAACCTCACAGTTAGAGCCAGTGAATCCTGGACGGCATGAACAGGTATAGCTTCCCTGGCCAGTATTGGTGCAAGTGGCACCATTCTTGCAAGGCTTATGATGTGTACAGTAATTAAGGTCTGCAAAAAAATGTGAGAGAAGAAAATCCATAAAGATACTTGCTCCTTTATAATTATGACATGATTTAAATGAGTTGCATTCTAGGAAAAGTATTGTTTTTTGAAAAATATTCAGAAATAAGGATTGAGAACTTACCTTGGTTACAGAAAAGGCCACCCCAACCTTCCTGACAGTTGCATTGCCAAGGCTGTTGACAGGTACCATGAAGGCAGCCTGGATATCGGATGCACTCATCACAGTAACGGCCCTGCCATCCCACTCTACATCTAAGAAAAAAAATCCAAAGGATCATCAGATTTATACTTCTCATGGTTAGAAATCCTATCTCAGACTCTGCAAACATACTGAAGCCCAAAACCAGGAATCAAGTTTCTTAAAAAGCCTCCAGTGATCCTTCATGTGGGAAAGTCACTGGGTCTAACTGTAGCATCAGCTTTCATCAGTCCCAGCTTCTTCTTTCACTGGCTTAGATAAAGCCATTGTTGCAGGTCCTTATTTTGTTTACTAAAATAACAAAGAGCCACCCATTCCGTATAGTACTGTAAACTCATTAAGTTAATATTAATGACCCTGATGTTTGACTTCCAGTTTAATTCTTTGATCTGGCATTATCTGGATTTCTTAGGTTACCATCTAGCATGAAGAAAAGCACTTCAACTAACCCTCAGATGACAAATGGCTTATTTAACACCAGAGCATCAATTGAACTGTAAAGACCAAAAAGGAAAAAACAAAACAAAACAAAAAAACTTGGAAAACTTACTTGCATTCCCCAGGTTTGTCACAAAACCCATGCTGCTCATCACATCCAGGCAAACAAATCGCTGCAAGCAAAGAAAATATATCAGTACATAAATGCCATGATCTAATACACCCCATCTAAAAGAAGTTTTAAAGTACTGGTGGCCTGGGACAAACCCTCTTTCACTAGTTCAGTCAGTTAATAGCAGCTGAGTTAATCTCTGAAGTCTGGTGGAGTATTGATCTTGCCTAGTAACTGGGTACTTTACTTATCACTAGGGATGAGCATTCTTCTTAATACAGTTGCACACAGACAAAAGAGGGCTCACAATCGCTCCCTTCCCCGCAGCCCTCACCCCCCTTTCCTTCCCAGTGAGGGTCAGAAGTCCTTTTTTCCAATTCTATGCACACAGCTCCACCTCTTAATATCCCCAGAAAGTGTGTGTGTAGATAAGAGTGGACAGCTGGTGTGCAGGGTGCCAGTGTAGGACAGCTGCTCTATTGTCTATTCTCTCCCAGCAGCTGCCCCACTGCAACAATACCCCCAACCCCTTGAGCCAATCGGGGCCAAGACATGCTTCCCCAGCAGCCTATCCCTGCCCAGATCTAATCTATGGCACGCGCGTGATTTCTCTGCAAAAACTTTTTTTTTCTTATTCAAATAAATAAGTCTAAAGTTCTTCCTCCCCTTCTATCCCCCACCCGCTGCCAAAAAAAGGAGGCGGGTGAGTACAGACATGGTAAAGAGGTAAGCAGGCCAGCAGGAGGGAGGGTAGGGGAAAAAGAGACTTCTCCTCATTACTTTACTTAGTTATGGAACTCATTAAGCAGGCACTGCAAAGTTTTAATTCAACAAAGCAAGCCAGAGACAATGGCATGCCTCCCCCTCACCAAAAAAAAATCAGTTCTGATAATCAGATTGTTTCAAAATCAGAATGAATGGAGAGAGGAGCAGAGGGCTTAACAGAAGAAATCTGAATCCTGGAAACATTGTCTGCCAGCAAGAAAACTTCCTTTTCACATGCACACATGTACTCTTCTACATTTTAACTAATTTGTTCTATGAGAAAAAGCACAATGAATTGCATGCTTGTGCACATGCATCCACACACACAGAGAATGATGCAGGAAAGATGGGAAACATGATGCTTTGTTATTGATCAGTATTCAAATATTGAAGGTGCTGACATCCCAATCAGTTCATCACAGTAATGTTTTCTCTCTCCCCATCCCTCTTAATGCTACTGGGATGCAACCTTTTAATCCAGGGGTATTAAACCCTCCAATTTAAAACATTATCAAGGGAAGTTGAGCCCCTCTGTTTACTATGCAAAATCATATCACAACTGCTTGAATCACCCTTCTAGAGCCAATGAGAGTAGACTGAGCCTGTTTGATGGTAGTCAATCTCAATTCACAATGTAGCGCTTTTTTAATCAAGCCAGCAAAGAGAAGAAAACAGTGTAGATGTTGTAACCAGCAAGGCAGTTTATTACCCTTCCTGGCTTGTGAGGTTTGGAGGGGAGGATTCAATAGTGAGTCATCTGCCAATATATTATAAATGCACACACAAACACAAATTAGAATGCCACTGTATACTACCACAGACTGGGGGCAGGGGGATGGGGGATACACTGTGTGCACACATGCATGTGTGAGCATGTACCTACACAGAATTATAATATTATGGGAAATTTATTTTATCCAACAGCTTTGACCACGTCACCAACCTACTCACTATTCTGTCTCTGTCAGACCTACTTCTAATATTCCAAACCTCTGAGCTCCTGCAAACCTAGTCATCATCCTTCAAAGCTTACATCCTTCATTAAAAACAATACAGATCCTGACACATAAATCTGTCCTTGTTTCCCATAGAGTTTATTTCCTCCAAAATTACACTGTTCTGTGGTGCCAAAAGGGCAATACCTAGTCATTAACCAGCAACAGATTTATGAATAGACGGGATTAGAAATGAGAACTTCATATCACTACAAAGTGTCTTGGAATCCACCTCTTCAGTGGGCTACAACTCTCCTTTCCAGCCTTGGCAGACTACAAGGTTGCAAGTATATCAAGCCTTAAACAATCTAACATTATGATTGCTAGAGAGAGGTTGTTAGTCTAGTACTTACAATATCTCTTTCTAAAGCCTGCATGCCTTTACTCCTGGTATTCAGGTTTCTCTGGTTTTAGTAATGAAATAATTTTTTAAAATCTTTGATTTATCTTTTTAACTCCCTGAAGCACTTGTAGAATCTATTTCTATACAATTTCTGGCATAAACATGAGGTGACAGTGTAATATGTAAAAGTTTCTCAAATGTTATTGGCATTACACCAGGTTATCTGAGATAACTCACTTGTGGTTTTAGTAAATCTGAGTAATGAGATCATCCCCTGGCTCATGCCAATAAGATCTATATTCTGCCCTATGCCACCAGGTATTTTCTCTAATTTCATCTTCATTCTCCACACGGGACTGATCCAGAGAACAATGAAGTCAGTGGAATGACTCACATTGCCTCTGAAGGGCTCTAGATAGACCTCTGGAGGAGACACCAGGATAGCCAGCAGAGATTAGATTGTGGGCACTTACGTTCAGTGCAGTACTGGCCTTTCCATCCTGGATTGCAGACCTTCTCACCACGCTCTCCACAAGTGAAGTGGCCAAAGGCATCATCCCTTGGGCGGCAGAAGACAGAGCAGCCCTCTCCATAGTAGTGCTCATCACACACAAAGCGGTAGGAGTACTTGAGGTCAGTGCGGCCACTGCTGTGCAGGTCTTGGGACCACTCCTCCCCCACTGTCAGATGTCTCTGTGTGGCCAGCCGGCTGATAAGCCGCTCTGGATTCTCTGCAAGGAACCAGAAGGGAGAAATGCAATTAAGCAACAGGGAGGTGTCAGTAGTGGGAATAAAATGCTACAGCTGAGCAGGAAAGGCTCATGGCAGGGAGAGGAGTTCAGAACTGTTGACGGGGCTCTGTTTCTTTTCACACTCCCTGGTGAAGAGTGGAATAAGGAACTGCAGGGGCCTGGCTCTCTGCCCCTGAGAGGGAAAGCAAAGCGAACCTGGAAAGTAGTGGGCGTGAATGCCACCCTGCAAGGGACTTGGGCCAGAGCAGTTACCTGTGTTGAGGTCATCTGGAGAATCCGTGTGCAGCGCCTCGATGATGAGGGAGAAGGTGCCCTGGGAAATTCACACCAAACAAGAAAAGCGCACACAGGCAAAGTGAGAAGAAAACCGGGAGTCAGCAAACACTGCCAGCGCCCCAGCAACAGGAATAGAGATGTGCCCTCCCAGCCCTGCCACCCGCCTGTTTTCACTTTTCTCAAGGAAATGGAAAGGCTTTGGGAAGGGTTGCTTCCTGGCCTGTTTTTTCAGCCTGTGAGGACAGGATGCAGGGTCGAAAAAGAGAGAGAGGGGGGAGAGTGGGCGGGCTGGAGGCAGCGGGTAGGATGTGAGGGCAAGTGGTCATTAATCTTCCCCGGCTTGAGAGCAGCCTGGGGCAGGGCTGGGGCAGAGAGGAGGGGTGTGTGGGCTGGTCTGGACAGGGATGTATGCACAGGGATGCTGCTGCCCCGGGCAGGGGCTGCACTAAGTGACCTCCAGGGGTCCTTTCCAGCTCCACCGCTCTCTGGCTTCACCCACTGGGACTGGGGGGAGCTGGGCCAGCTTGCAGGGGGGCAGAGCTTAGGCTCCCTCTCTGGCAACATCCCGTGCAGAGTGCGGCTGCAGCCCCGCGGCACTTACGGGCCAGGTGAAGCCAAAGGGGAAGCGGATGGGGTTGCTGAAGGCGGGGTCGGCGCCGGCCGCGCTGTCAGGCACACTGAAGGAGTTGGCGCCCAGCACGGGCGTGATGGCACTGCCGTAGGTGCAGGGGGGCTCAGGGGACACGCTGGCCTGGTAGTGCTTGAGGCACACGCGGAAGAAGGTCTTGCAGTCGCACTGCTGCAGCGCCGCCCCTGCGCCTGGCCCGCCGCCGCCGCCGCTGCCCCCACGGCAGCAGTTGCGGTTGCCCAGGAGCCCCTTCTTGTTCACGAACTCCTGCAGCTTCAGCTCAAAGACCCCGGAGCACCCGACCTGCGCGGGGGGGAGACAGAAACATGAGC